CCATTGGAATAACAAAGCAAAACAGAGTTGCCATATGGGCACGAACATACCGGCCGCCTTGAACGACTGGGATAAGTTCGAAATTAAATTCAAGTTTCAAAATTGCATAAGTATCTATCAAGATCGTACAAATATTACAAAGTAAATATATCATTTTGCGTTGGCAAAAGCGTCAGTTTCGCAATAGGCCGCACCAATTCTCCGTCCGCCGTCTTCAGCTTTACTACGCGTACCAGTCCATCCGCACCCGGATGACACTGAGTTACACGCCCAAGTCGCCATTTAGTGGGTGGGCTATTCGAATCGTGAATGATAACAACGTCATCTTCTTTCAGGTTCGAGGAGGGGCGAAACCATTTAACTCGTTGTTGTAGGTTGACGACATATTCGTTTCGCCAACGTGACCAAAAATGTTGCCGCATTGCACTAATGGCTTGCCAACGTTGATGTAACGTCCCTGAGAAATTTTCGGTGTCAGGTTCAGGCAGCGCCTTGATTGGCTCACCAATCAAGAAATGACCAGGAGTGAGGATTTCCAAATCATCAGCACTAGCAGAGTGCCAATAGAGCGGTCGCGAGTTAACACAAGCTTCCACCTCCGTTAAAAGCGTAGCAAGTTCTTCGTATGTTAATAAAGAGCTACCGAGAGCACGCTTTAAGTGGTATTTTACTCGCTGCCTCCCAATAACCACCCATATGTGGAGCGCTTGGCGGATTAAAGTGCCATGTTATTTGCATGTTCGCCAAATACGAGGTAAGCTTTTCATCTCTCACGCAACGGCGGTAGGCGGCGTATAACTCTCTTTCGGCACCAACGAAATTAGTGCCGTTGTCCGAGTATACATGCTGACAATAACCTCTTCTGTTTACAAATCTAGAGAGAGCGGCGACAAACGCAGGTGAAGAGAGATCTCCAACGAGCTCGAGGTGCATTGCACCAGTACTCATGCATATGAAACTGCATATATACGCCTTGCATGATTTGGCTCCTCTGCCTCGTGAAAACTTTATAAAATAGGGTCCCGCAAAGTCGACGGCGCTGTGCAGAAAACATCGAGAACTCGTAAGGCGGCTGCTTGGTAGATCCGACATTACTTGACCCAACGGTCGGCGGTTAATGCGTTTACATTTTACACATTTGTGGTAGATTGCGCGAACAAGATTACGAGAACCCAGAACCCAAAAGCGACGTTGTAGAACTGTTTGCATGATTTGCGGGCCGGCGTGGAGCGTACTGCGGTGAATATCGGATATTATGAGTTTCGCCAGCGACGAGTTCTTCGGTAAGATTATCGGGTGCTTAACGTCGGTGGAGACAGAAGCTCGTTTTATTCGTCCGCCAACACGGAGAATGCCATCAACATCCAAAAATGGTTGAAGGCGGATTAGACGACTTCGTAATGGTATTTGTTTGGTTAACCTGCAACAAGTAATTTCCTTTGGAAAAGCGTTAGTTTGGATATACTTTACCAGTGCATTTTCAGCGTGGAGAATTTCACTGCTGGTGAGGGCGCCAGTACTGCGTTGACTGCTAGTTGTTCTTAAGTTGTTGACGAAACGTAGAGCATAGGCTGTAATTCTCTTGAGTTTAATATACGAATGATACCTTGACAATAGTTCCCAATCTTCTGCAGTTTGGGTGAGGTGTGATGCGGATTTGGTCGCTCGTAATTCGGAACTTATGTTCGAGTTACGCCTTGTCAGCAACTCCAAATCTTCTGTTGCTTGATGCTGCCACTGATCGTCATTTTCAGCTAACCAACTCGGCCCTTGCCACCAAAGATAATGGGCGAGTAGATTCGACGGAGCCAAGCCTCTAGACGCGCAGTCAGCTGGATTGTGCTCTGAGCGGACGTGTCTCCAGCACTCAGGAGCTAGAACTTCTTGTACTGCGGCTACGCGATTCGCAACGAAGACTGACCATCGACTTGGGTGACTCTGTAACCAAGCTAGCGTTATAGTTGAGTCGGTCCACGCGTATAAATTTTTCATATTGCAACCGAAACTCAACTGAACCTGCTTAACAAGCTTGGCGCCTAAATGCGCTGCGCACAATTCCAGACGTGGGAGAGTAGTACTTTTTAAAGGTGCGACCTTCGCGCGCGCGGCGACTGGAACGACCTTAAAAGTTCCATCGGGTAGTTGCGTGCGGCAGTAGAGTACCGCAGCGTAGGCACGTTGAGATGCATCCGTGAAAACGTGGTATTCAGCATGCTCGACGATTTCACTGGTACCAATCCAACGATTTAGCTTAAGAGCCGTGAGTTTAGGTAGTTGCTGACGGTGAGAGAGCCACTCTTCAGCGACATCGGCGGGCACCGGTTCATCCCAATCAACTTCCGCTCGCCAGATTCGCTGGAGCCAAATTTTCGAGAGTATAGTGCACGGCGCGATTAGCCCGAGTGGGTCGAAGACTTTACTCGAATCTGAGAGAAAAACTCTTTTCGTAAGAATTGCAGGCAGTGGGGTCAAATCCACTGCAATCGATAAACAATCGTCGCTTGTGTTCCAAATGATTCCTAGGGTGCGTACTTCATCGCCGTCAGCTAACAGATGTGAAATTTGCTTTGACGCATGCGGTATTTTCTCCCTAAGCTCGTCGCAATTTGTAGCCCACTTCCGTAATTCGAAGCCAGCGTTAGACAGAACTATGGTAACGTCATTTCGTAGCTTCATAAGGTTGTCGACAGAAAATGAGCCTGTGAGAAGATCATCCATGTAGAAGTCGCGCATGATGACAACAGTTGCTTCTTTGTGCGTTTCGATGGCATCCAAAGCGGATTGGTGCAGAGATCGTACGGCCAAGTGGGAAGCTGCAGCGACGCCGTAGGTTACACGAAGCATGCGATAGTCCCGAATAGGTTGGGTTGGGTCGTCACGCCAAACTATGCGTTGGTAGTCCACATCTTGTTCTGCCACGTATACCTGTCGATACATTTTTTCGACATCGGCCATTATTGCGTAACGATGAGTCCGGAACCGCACCATTATAGAAAACAGATCCTCTTGTAATTGCAGGCCTATCATTAGTGCATCGTTGAGCGAGAAACCGGATGTGGTTTTACATGAGGCGTTGAACACCACTCTCAGTTTAGTGGTGGAGCTGGTGTTCTTTACTACAGCGTGGTGTGGCATGTAGTAACTTTTATGCGGTTGGGCGTTGCCTACGAGCTCCATGTGGCCCATATTTAAAAGCTCCTGCATAAATTCTGCGTATTGACGGCGTAGCTCCTCATCAGCAGCGAAACGTTTTTCCATTCTTAGCAGACTTCTTACGGATATGTTTCTCGACTCACCTAAAGGCACGGATTCCTTTAACGGTAGGCGTACGATGTAACGCCCGTCTTCAGCGCGGCGACAATGCTTGCGAAAATGCCCTTCACAAGCCTCCTCTTCGACAGTTAAGTATCGCTTGGGGGGAAACTCTTCGAGCTCCCAAAACTTACTCACCATTCGGATGAGTTGCACATCACAGTGCAGGGATAAAACTCCCGCACTTGGGCTGGATGAACGCATGGCCTTTCCGAAAAGTACCCAACCGAAAACTGTGTTTTGCGCCATGGGTGTGTCAGGTGGCCCTTTGCAGAGACCGGTTAACAAGAATTTATCCATCTCATCCATCCCTATTAACACATCAATAGGACCAGGTTTGGCGTAATGCTGATCAGCAAGAGCGAGATTTCGTAAGTGCGGCCAAGACGACATCTGTACACAAACGCTGGGAAGATCGTTTGTAATCTTCGATAAAATAAGCGAGTTGATTGTGAAATGCTGGTCAAGAGATCGGGGCGCAAGTGAAAGAATAGTCTCACCCTTAACTTTACCGCCATCTGTTGAACCAATACCTGTGACATGAGCTGCCGAAGGTTTCCTTTGTAGACGGAGGCGTTGAATACAGGCCTCTGTCACGAAGGATGCATGTGAGCCGTTGTCAAACAACACCCGAGCAGGTTGCCATCGCCCTGCATGATCTTGCAAATATATCTCTGCGGTTGCCAATAAAATGGCCTTGTCAGCTTCAGCGACGTGAGATGCTACGCAACCAGAGTGCGGTACATCCGAGCTAGCATTATGTATACGCGCCGTAGTAGAGTCATCGATTGTAGATGACGTAGTCGATTGTTGCACAAGTAGATTGCCTTCCTGCTTTACAAACGGAGAAGCGTGTACATTCAGCTCATCGCTGGTCGTGTCATCTTCGCGGCAGCCGTGTAGTAATGTATGATGACGACGACGGCATATGTTACAAGTTGATAAACTGCGACATTTTGCTTGAAAGTGGCCTTTGCTCAGACAGTTGAGACAAGCATTATGTTTCTTGACCAATACAAACCGGGCAGCAGCATTTAATTTACGGAAAGTTGGGCAGGCGTAAATTTTGTGTTTGGCGTTGCAATGGAGACATGAGGGTGAACTGGCTCCTGCATCAACCAGGTTGGATGAGGAGGTGTGTTGCTCACCAATCGCATGGAGCACGTTTGTTGTAGTCTTCGCCGCAGTTTTGCTGAGCTGGCGCGCTCCTTGCGCTGAGGTTGACAGCGCACCACTCGTCGGTACCATCTCTAGCGAACGCGCACGTGTTTCCAAAAACTCGACCAACTCTTCAAAAGTAGGTAAAACATCCCTCACCAATGGCAGCTCCCATTGTTTCCGGGTTTCGTAAGCCAACTTCGAAACGGTAAGGTGGACAAGCCAATCGTCCCAAAACTCCACAGGCCGACCTAAAGCACGTAGCGAGCCAACGTGTTGCGTGGTAGCGTTTAAAACTTGCTTAATGGCCTTACCAGTATCTCGAGATGCCTTTTCAATTGCAAAAATTGCTTTGAAGTGACCATCAACCATGACACGCAAAACCTTGTAACGCGTGGTGAGTAGATCCCACGCAGCATTGTAGTTGCCATCACAAATCTGTAGACTGCTTACAAGTTGGAGCGCCTCACCTTGAAGACAATTGCGCAAATAATGCAATTTTTGACTAGCAGACAAACTCGCGTTCGTGTGTACGAGCGACTGGAACGCGTCGAAAAAGGCTAACCAATTTGTAGGGTCTCCACTGAAAGTCGGCAGCTGTAACTTGGGCAGTTGAACTGGCGAGGACGTGAAACTTGTTGATGTGGAAGGGCGCGGTTGCTCAGGGCTTCCGATGAGGCGTTTAAAATTCGCCTTTGCTGTGATGTACCACTCTTCTGCCTGCGTGCGTGATTGCTCTTCAACCGGCGCACTTTCTTCGCCGCACAACAACTCTACTTCTTGTTGAGCGTCAGCGAATCTGACCCACTGCTCCTCGAGAAGCTGAAGATACGTTTCTACTGCTTCTTTGTCTAATGCCAACGCATCATTTTTGCTGATTACAACATATCGTTTGATTGCGTTTAATGCAGAATCACGCACCTTCACTTTGGACATGGCGTGATGTATACAATTGGGGTTATGGCACACACGTGTAAATGTTGTTACGAAATTTGCGCTTAAAATCGCACTTATGCATGCGAGAGCGTGGAAATCAATTTATAAGCGTTTTTGCTCTTGGTTTTAAATGTTCTTAAGCCAGTACAAGCTTGTTAAAACGTATTTAAGGACCGTATTTTGACCCAAATTAATCAACGCGATCCCGGACGAAGGACCAATATGTTGCGTACAAAAGCGAAAAAGCGTATTATTACAAAAGTCCGATTG